ACATTTTGAAAAAATGATAAATAAAGATGTGCAAACTTAAAATTACATTATAATAACATAAGTATATTGATTTACGGCCCAAAAAGATATTGCAGATGAAGTATTTTCAAGAACAACAGTAGCAGTACCAGTATGAATTGTAGTTGAAATATAGCCAGTGATGCATGACGTCCACTTTAGTGGACAGGTGAATAATCATAATTTCCTGCAAACATAAAATCCATACTTTGACAATTTATGAATTATATGATTCCTTAGTTGTTACTTGATATCACCAACATTGTTATACCTGCAGGGAGCGCTTTCCATAAAAGGATTGGCAAGATATCGACGAGTGATTCGGTCCATCTGGCTTTCTGTCGTCCATCTTGGTTTAGAGAGAAATGTATCATGCACTTACACTGACTTTCCACTGAGTGGCAGTGTATGGGATGATGCAATAGAGAGGCGAAGTCCCTCCCCTTCCGGTGGGACTCATGGGACCTTAATTCGAAAAAAGTATGTATTGAAGTCAATGGAGAGAAAGATTATCTTTCGATCCCGTTTGAATTGTGCCACAAATTACACATATGATGTTTGTCAATCTTAAATAATAATTTCCATGTCAAAAAAGTCACAGTTTGTCGTAAAGCTGTTGAAATATAAGACTATAAAAAATACGCAACTAGAAAGACTACAAATCCCAGAATCCCAGTTCCGCATGCTGGCTCTTACGAACCGACTAACTCCCCTTGTGTGTATGTACAGCTCTCAACATGCCCAGACTTGGAGTGATTTTCACCTCTTTTAATACTTTTCGCCTCATTCTGAAAGAAAGAAGTGAAATGTGCCAACGTGACGGCCGTCTTGGTGTGTGGTGCGAGACGGGAGATGGAGTTCATTGAGCGGTTTCACACAAAAAAAGTGTTACTTCACAGTTTTACAACACATTTCTATTTTTTTGACTTGTAAAATTATCTTTTAAATTGACAAACATCATATGTGTAATTCGTGGCACAATTCAAACGGGATCGAAAGATAATCTTTCTCTCTCCATTGACTTCAATGCATAACTTTTCCGAAATAAGGTCCCATGGAGCTCAACCGGAAGGGGAGGGACTTCGCCTCTCTATAGAGTGCCACAGTGACGCGTCCTAAAACCCGGAAGTAAACTCTTTCCGGTTCCTTCAACAAAAACCAATGCAATTTCTCCATAGGATTTTGGAAAATAGCTCGAAATAAGGTCTGTGGTTGACACACATTTAAGAGACGGTTCACGTTTTGTTCAGCCGGATAATATCCACATGTCTACCCGCCTCGGCCGCCACTGCGTCAGGCCGTTGTGTCCTTGGGCAAGACACTTCACCCGAAGTTGCTCCTGTGGGTAATGTCCACAGTAATGACTCTTACATGTCTAATATGTGTAATGTGTAATTGTAAAGCGCTTTGAGCACCTGCAAAAGCGCTCTAATAAAAAATGTGATCCATTATTATTATTATTATAGAGAGGCGAAGTCCCTCCCTTTCCGGGGGACCTCCATGGGGCCTTATTTCGGAAAAAGTATGTATTGTAGTCAATGGAGAAAGAAAGATTATCTTTCGATCCCGTTTGAATTGTGCCACGAATTACACATACAGTATGATGTTTGTCAATTTAAAAGATAATTTTACAAGTAAAAAAAATTAAAATGTGTCGTAAAAATGTGAAGTAACACTTTTTTTGTGTGAAACCGCTCAATGAACTACATCTCCCGTCTCGCACCACACACCAAGACGGCCGTCACGTTGGCACATTTCACTTCTTTCTTTCAGAATGAGGCGAAAAGTATTAAAAGAGGTGAAAATCACTACAGGTCTGGGCATGTTGAGAGCTGTACATACACACAAGGGGAGTTAGTCGGTTCGTAAGAGCCAGCATGCGGGACCGGGATTCTGGGATTTGTAGTCTTTCTAGTTGCGTAGTTTTCATAGTCTTATATTTCAACAGTTTTACGACAAACTGTGACTTTTTTTGACATAGAAATTATTTTTTAAGATTGACAAACATCATATGTGTAATTCGTGGCACAATTCAAACGGGATCGAAGGATAATCTTTCTCTCCCCATTGACATCAATACATAATTTTTCCGAAATAAGGTCCCATGGGTCGGAAGTAGATTGTGTCGAAGGAACCGGAAGTGGTAAAATGCTAACTTACTTCCGGGTTTTAGGACGCGTCACTGTGGCACTCTATAGGGTCCTATGTAGTGGCTGATGTGCAACTATGCCATCAAAACCGATGCATATACAAGAAAACACCTTTTGAATAGCTGTCCACTGTAGTGACCTCTATGCGTGAAAGGGATAGTAATAATCTAAACATATCATATATATTATTCTGAAATGGACCAATCTTCATGAGTACTTTTATTTTTGGTATTTTAAGTAGCCTATATTTTGATGCTAATAATTGTTTACTTGAGTAACATTTTGAATACAGGTTATTTACTTGTTACAAAGTATCTTTTACTTGAGTACAATAACTGAGTACTTCTTCCACCTCTGATGCTGCCAGGGGAAAAGTTGGCAAATACATTGAATTTGAGTGTTTTTATGTCATATATGGTTATATGTCAAGCAACGTGAATGTCAAACAATGGTAACTGAAAATAGAAATAACAGTGGTAAAAAGTAATAAAATACATTACCTCTTGTTCTCAAGTAAGAGCAGGAGTGTCCCCACATGGTTCCCCACACGGCGGCTAGCAGCTCATGTTGCTAACAGCACAGTGCAGACAACAGCAACAGTGCCGACAGAGCGGCTGTGGTGTACGGAACTACGCCTCAAAATATACAAAAGTGCTGTTAATTTGTAAAGATAACCTTTACAAACAAAAACCTGTAGCCTATAAACTTTGATGGCCCCAGAGCTTAATTTATATAATTTACAACAATACCATTTGTTTTGGTCGAGGCAACTAGTGAGATGCTAACTTTTGGTTTGGCGTACAAAATTACGTCATCCCTGCACCACTCTATGGGCCATTTTGTATTATGAGTACTTTTGCTTTTGACACTGTGTGAGTGCCTTATGCTAATAATTGTGTTGTTTTACTTTACTAAAATGTTATATATAATTCTTTGTTGCAACAGAGGACCCAGGGGTAGCCTATTACTTTGTTTAATGACCTCTTTTTAAGTGCAAAATGAATAAATCCACAACTAAAATATGAAAGGTCACTTTTGGCAACTATGCTTTTGTGATGAATGATATAAATGATTTTTAGATGAACATAGGTGAATATAATATTTTCATAGTGCTGCTCAAATATGACTTACAACATTTTAACGCTGTAAAGCTTTTGATTGTAAATATTAATAACAGCTTCCCTTTCTCTGCAGTGACATTTAGCTCCATCATGGCTGCTGTCCTGCAGCTCACTCTGAAGACCTGAGTCCTTGTATTTAATGGCGAGTGCCCAGCGCTCTGATCTTAATGGCACTTTTAATTAGCACTTAATTAAAGGCAGGTGGCCGGGAAAGGTCAGCCAGTTAGGCCTGTGAGTTAAAAACACTGACAGGCTGAGGCACGAGTATTGACTGTTCCAAGGATCCGTCTGCTAACCACAGTGACACGAAACCTGGACACAGATCTGCTGTAGGTTCAAAATTAAACACAGAAAAGAATATAAAATATTTAAAAAAAATACTGCCTTCAATTATTTTACATCTATTTGGCCTTAACAATAAATACGTTGAAATGTTATCACATTTTCAGTTGTTTTTTTACAGAAATGTTACAGTAGTAGCCACATTTAACCAAAGAAAGGGATTAAATACTGGGCATCCGAAGGATTTGACTGTTACACACCATGGCTTTTTGTGTGAGTGTTCTGTATGCACGTATACCTTATGACTGGGCTCCACACTGGTCTGTTCAAGAAAGCTAAATCAAATCAAAAGCAGCTTCTGCAGAAAACTGACACAATAGTCCAGACTGTCAGTTGGATTTTCATTCTACTCATTTCACCAACACAATGGCTGCAGCGTGATCTAAAGTTGTCGCGCCTAGGCTCTGAAAAACAGAGCTGGGAACAGTATTGATTGGAGTCAGAATTATAGATCACCGTGTCTGAATGAGTGATGAAGCTGTCGCACTGTTGCTCTCACCTGACAAGCACACACATTCAAAACCCTCAATCTCAATGCTGCACTAACATTATGTTTAACAACCGTAGTGAACATACACAAAAATATATATTTTGAATTAGCTGGGAAATACATTATTTATGTGCTGTGGTTGACAGCACAACATATACATTATATATTTGAGAGGAATTGAACAATCCAGTCAGAAACCAGCCTTCAGGAACTCAGGAGATTTTAATTTTTAGGAAACAGAAAAATACATAGTTTAGGTGAGGTAACAGAAATTACTTTTACATTTTCAGTGAATGAAATGTATTATATTTTTGGTTTCTGGCATCTGAAATGTAAAACAGCAGGACTAATAACACAGACAAAGACATTAAATGTAAACCATCATACTTTATGACTGTACTTTATGTACAGTATACGATTGTAAGGCTGTTAAATGCCAGTTGAGCATCAGCACATCTACTCATCACATCCTCAGCCGTCTACACACTGAGCCTCAGCTGATATTAATGCTCTCAATGTGATACTGAAAATAATCCCTAATGTATGTATGCCGTGCTTTTTCTCCTGAAAGTACTGGGAGACACCACTGAGGGGCAGCAGAATTACACGCCTGCATATTGTTTTTCACCGTAATGCTCAGACTATTATATTTATGGTGAAAAACCCTATTGTTTGTAATAAACCGAAAGTACACTTATTGTCCTACAAAGTGTCCAGTTATGGGCTGTCAACAGATGCTTTATGGGAAGTAAATGTGTCTTTGATGTGATGGATCACCACATAATTACACGTGAAATGTTGAGATTAATATTATTAGGTAAAATCATTGTTCCACAAATACATTAATACAAAAAAATGCAATAACACAGTGAAAACAAGTCATATAACAATTCAGTTTATTTTATTTATTTTCCAGACAGACACATCAATTTCTGGACCACAGTAGAGGATGGAAACCTTTCACAGACATTTTTTGTCAATATTATTATTTGAAAATACAAATATAAAATTAGACTTTCCACATTTGATATGTGAGAGACCCCCATCCATTATTATTATTATTATCATTATTTTTTTTAAGTATATTTTACAACAGGGCTTAAGCAAGCCATATGATAACCTGAAAGATGCTTTCAGATGTCAGTCAAGTCTGTCTGTCTCTCACCATAAAAAGTCGGTTAACATAAAAAAAGGGGCAAGTGTTAGGAATGGGCAGACAGCAGTGAAGAGAGCTCTGTGCTCAGCCTGCACACACATGGAAGCACAGCAGAGCCTCACACTGCCGTCCATGCAGTCTGAAGAGCTTCCAGGCTCCCCTCTAGGCCATGCGGTCTGCTCCAAACTCGACAACACGCCACGGGTGAACTCTCGTGTCGGTGAACAGAAGCTAATAATGCCTACATGAGCCCGGGTGTAGCTGTGTAACGAATATTCTGTATACAGCTGAGGTCTCCAGTCTAATATTCTTCAGACAAGGTCAAATGCGTGAGAATTGCAAATATATACTCATCTATACACTTATATATTGCAATTGTTTGTATATATTTAGCGATGAGCGTGAGATGGCAATGGTTTGAACTGAAAGGGAAATTCACCCTGAAACACAAGAGTAAAGTAAAACTTGTGATATTTCTGTCACCTTGAAGTTTGTGAAGGTTTTTATGTTTTGGAACAAGAGAGTCACTGTGACAGTATCTATCAGAGATAAGGGCACACTGTTTGGTTTGAACCATCAGCACCACTGTGAATAAGCCTTTTTGGGTCTACATGCTCAAGATCGTTCAATGAGGCTTTAAAGTAATTAATTGGAAATAGAGCCGAGCCTGAAACCGTCTGATGTCCCAGCTTCTTATCCATGAAGCAGATTCAAATCCGACAGAAATCTCAAAAGTGTTTTGTGTGGTTTTCAGGGTGGGCTTTTCCCCCCCGGCGGATGGGATCAATAGTTTGGCCATTGCCTAGCACTTGCCTCAAGATTCAAGTTTAAATGGATACGGTAGTACACTACAAATGTCAACTCCTTCCAGGTTGACTTTTTTTCTTTTTTTGATTTCTTTTTTTTTTTCTTAAACCAAGACCCCTCCCCTCTCCCCAAATGGATACGCTAGTCTACTAAGATGTGTAACATTCATCAGCTGTAAACTGCTGTCAGTTTGAGATTCAAATGAAATGACAGCAACAGAGCCATGCTACCTTAAAGTCCACGCTACAGGATCACAAAACAATAGGAGCTTGTGTGAGGGGAACACCAGCCATTTCAAGTCAGAAAGGCTTTTACTGTCTTAGGGGCTGCAACCGTGACAACAACTCAAGTATCTTGTTGCACTGTTCTTTGTTTTTCCAGATGAAATGGCAGCACAATTGGAACCAACAGCAGCTCCTAATGAGCTCCTTGTAGGTGGTATGAGTTAGAGTTTATTATTTGATAAAATACTTATAAACAGGGACATTGCTGCAAACGTAGAGGAACACTTTCTTTTGTCTTGTCTATAAAACGTAACTAGTACACATGAATGATAGATTCTAATATGTTCATTGTTTTTCTACAGTTGAGATATCTTTGAAATATAAATGTGGAAATGAGGTGAAAACTAGATTGAATACTCAGAATGTTATTACATTATTTTGTACGCTTTATTTGTTTACTTTATTGTCAGATGTGATCAATTACTTTTACAATATAATATCTGAAATGGATATATTTCAAATATAATTTGACGTTTGTTTGGGGGATAATCTCTCTCTATTTCTACACAATGTCCTGTATACTTGCTGAATTCATTGGAATAATAATGGCACTAACAGAGCTGCCATTACTGAACATCCAAATGTAATTTGACAGTCTACTGGGTGAGAGAAATGAATAAACACTAATGTTATTAATTATTGTAACAGTACTCAATTTTAAGACCCCATGAGGTGAAATAAAAAATAAAACGGTCATTAAACCTAAATGATGTTTAATTGAAATGATACTAATAGAAATAATAACGCACACAGCGTGAGGCTTTATAATAGCTCATTTTTTGGTAGAAATTCTGCTTGTGGAAATCTGTGAATTCTGGACATCCTTTGAGTATTTGGAGGAATTTTCAGCAGAGATTAACGTTTGAATTGATTATCTTCTGAAATATGAATTGAACCATCTATTAATCCGCCTTAAGAGTGATACACACTCATCCTGTTACAGCTGCAGAATAATATCTGTTTAATGGAGTCTTTCGCAGGATGTGTCTGACATTTTTATAGCAATGCCTCTATAATATCAATATGTTGGATCATTGATAACGCATTCAAATGATTTAGTTATTATTAAAGTCTTTGAGAGAATTAAGAGTTCAGTGCGAACAGTAAAATATATAACGGGTCATTTAAACAGCACGATGACTGTATATATGATTTTTCTTTGACATCAAATCTTGATAATAGCTTGTGTCCCTCTTAAAAACAAAGAAAAAAACAACAGTTTTGCATATCTAGCGTTAGCATTTAAGGTAGTATGGCACACCCCTTTTAAAACATTCAAGGGTGGGGATCCAAATAATGCCTCGTGTACAACTCCATCTTACAGCAACTGTTTCTCTATTGTTCATCCATGAGAGCTTTGGTTAGCTGAAACCATGTGAGAGTGGCAAAAAGCAACACAAAAAAAGATACAATGAACCTCTATCAAAAAGAATTGTCTGCAAATATCAGAATAACATGATCATTTAGAGAAAGGTCTATCTTGACTGGTCCTAAATCCACTATTCACTACGAGTATTATATTAATGAGTCCTATATAACATCTACTTTGTAATTACAGGAGATAGAAAAAGAGCGCGAGAGGGAGAGGGATAAATATGAGAGAAAGGAGAGGTAGAGAAAAGGGAGAACAACAAAGACCACTACACTGGTATCAAAGACAGCACTCTGTTTACAAGGTAACTGTGGTTTCTTTACACACTAATGAATTACATGAATGATCAACAAAAGAAGTAGGATCTCTGAAGGATGGGGAATGGAAAGAGAGAAAGCAATGGATGCACAGTACATTTTAATAGTATATTACAATTATTCATATATAAACCACAAAGTATCAATAAAACTCTGATTAAACTTGAAATCAGCAAAGAAGCATCTTTCTTTTTTTTATAGTTTCGTATTTTCTTTTACATTTGAACATTACAAGTTTTTTTTTTTCTCCGTTAAATGATGACTTGATCACACCTCCGTATCATTAACTTTAGAAGTATCCAGCATATTTCTTTACCTGGTTGTTTTGAAATAAAAGACAAAGAAGTGGGTCAAATGAAAAAGGACAAAAACACACCCGCAGCAGGTCAAGTATTTCACACCATTCGTTTCATTAATGATTTAAAAACCAGATATTTATATCATTATTAAATGTTTGTCATAAGTAAAATCATTAAGCACACATACTGTGTAAAACCTGGTGCAGTGCGAATAATTCAGTGTCGTTTTTTTAACCCTGTATAAATATCTTTAGATGGGTCTAATATACAAAGAGATCCACTGCAACAAATCTACTTCCCAAGCTGTTTCCTCAAAACTCTGAAGTGTTAGTCTAGCACATGAACCCAAGAAGTCCTTCATACTATCCCAAAGCACAAGGCCGTTCTCTTTTAAAAAGCCGACATATACATGTGCAAATAGGAAACTGGCCTGTACTCTTACTACTCACAGTGCATCGATTTCTCGCTTTATTACCTTTCAGTGTTTTATTTTGCCACTAGAATAACTTCAACCTGCCAATGGTTCCACGATTGAACTCACAAAGGCTGAGGTATGGTATCAAAATGTTTACTTTCCTAATTCGCTCATAAAAGAACCGATTCAGAGAACAAGCGGCACATAGAGGCTCTCAGCACAGAGCTCAAGGTATTGTGTTCCTAAAAAATAAAAAATAAATCAGGAACAAGCAGGATGAAACAAACGATAGAAACAACAGACAAGTTCCTCTCAAGAGTATAAAAGTGTCAGGATGCACAGAGCACTGTCCAATGCCTGTTCAAGTTCTAATCTTCACATCTAAGTACAGTGTGCTTTGGATTTTTTTTCTGTCTCTCTCTTTGAAATGATACTGATATCTGAGCAGTGAGATACCAATCAGGCTCTTTTTTTTATTTCTTAAAACTGCGTTGACTTAGCTCGCCGTTTGTGAATTTGCTGGTATGACACTTGTAAAATGATTCGGTATTTACAGAGCAAGCGTGTTCTGTTCGTCTCCGGGGTCTTTTATACCGTCTTCCAGCAGAAGAAAAAAAGTATAATAATAATAACTGTTTACAGCTTTTTTCTTCTATTCACACGCTATAACATGTTTCTTTTGACACACCATCACAAAAATATGCTATTCTCTCACTGAGTCGGTTATATGCAGTGACTGGAATAATATGTACAGCTACATTTCTTTTTCTCAAGTTTGAATTCACAATGTAGTTATATGAAATTTGTTATAGCATATATATATATATATTTCTAAACAACAAAAACAACACTTATAAAAAAGGACCATAAAAATATTGGAGTCCTCTTTGTATTGCCCAAAAATAGGTAATTATGGTTAACAATGAGACATCACAAGAAATAAAACAGCTACTGAGATTTATTACTTAGATACCCTCTTAAAATGTTCCTTAAAACTTAATTTTTTTTTCTCTCTTCACACCGAGCTTCTTTTTTATGCGGAAAGACTGATTTCAACAATCTTTCCCCTTCACACTACGAAGATGAAGACGTGACTTTCAGATATTCTTGGCTATGACCCCCTTTACTTCAAACGAAACCCCTTTTACACAAATATACTATAAGATTAAATAAAATGACACAAAATTAAGGTTAAAAATGACTCTCTAAAAACGAAGGAAAACAAAGCGCTAACAGAGGGAGGGAATTGGTGAATGAAATCCACGTGACACATCATACCAAACCAGGTCGTAAAGTTATAGGAGGTTTGGATTATAGTACAGCAGTTGTTATTTTTCTGAGATGACTAACGTTTTTCTTTTCTTCTTCATAAGGTTCAGACCTTCCTTCTTTTTGCCAGGGTGACGCTGTAGTGCTCGAAGTTGGTTAGCATCACCTGCACACAAAGCCAATTAGAAACTCCGTCCTGTCTTTCCCGGGCCACCAGATATACTCTGCTGGGCGATAGAGAAAGAAGAAGGGATGGCAACATCATTAGAAACCCTTAATGACAGCAATCTGTACTCACCAATATGAATTCCAAATAAAATAATGTGGCTCAATAGCATGAATAAAATGTCACAATCTAAAGTCTTTACTTCTAAGCAGGGTTGGGTCAGATTTCTTTGAAATGTATTCTGTTACTGCAGATACTATTACTGGTAATAAGATATGTTATCAATTACATTTTTTAACATGTAATCCGAATGCTTTTGGATTATTTCAAAATCAAACCTTAAAATATGCAGTGTCTTTTTGCACCTGGGTGAAAATAGCTACACCACAGCTATATGGCTATTTACACCCACCCAGCACCAAACATAGCACTATTTACACTCTGGGTGTACATTGCATTGTTGTCACCCGGGTACATATGGCATTATGACTATAGACACCCGGGTACATATGGCATTATGACTATAGACACCCGGGTACATATGGCATTATGACTATAGACACCCGGGTACATATGGCATTATGACTATAGACACCCGGGTACATATGGCATTATGACTATAGACACCCAGGTACATATGGCATTATGACTATAGACACCCAGGTACATATGGCATTATGACTATAGACACCCAGGTACATATGGCATTATGACTATAGACACCCGGGTACATATGGCATTATGACTATAGACACCCAGGTACATATGGCATTATGACTATAGACACCCGGGTACATATGGCATTATGACTATAGACACCCGGGTACATATGGCATTATGACTATAGACACCCAGGTACATATGGCATTATGACTATAGACACCCAGGTACATATGGCATTATGACTATAGACACCCGGGTACATATAGCATTATGACTATAGACACCCGGGTACATATGGCATTATGACTATAGACACCCAGGTACATATGGCATTATGACTATAGACACCCAGGTACATATGGCATTATGACTATAGACACCCGGGTACATATGGCATTATGACTATAGACACCCGGGTACATATGGCATTATGACTATAGACACCCAGGTACATATGGCATTATGACTATAGACACCCGGGTACATATGGCATTATGACTATAGACACCCAGGTACATATGGCATTATGACTATAGACACCCAGGTACATATGGCATTATGACTATAGACACCCGGGTACATATGGCATTATGACTATAGACACCCGGGTACATATGGCATTATGACTATAGACACCCGGGTACATATGGCATTATGACTATAGACACCCGGGTACATATGGCATTATGACTATAGACACCCGGGTACATATGGCATTATGACTATAGACACCCAGGTACATATAGCATTATGACTATAGACACCCGGGTACATATGGCATTATGACTATAGACACCCGGGTACATATGGCATTATGACTATAGACACCCGGGTACATATGGCATTATGACTATAGACACCCGGGTACATATGGCATTATGACTATAGACACCCAGGTACATATAGCATTATGACTATAGACACCCCGGGTACATATGGCATTATGACTATAGACACCCGGGTACATATGGCATTATGACTATAGACACCCGGGTACATATGGCATTATGACTATAGACACCCAGGTACATATGGCATTATGACTATAGACACCCAGGTACATATGGCATTATGACTATAGACACCCGGGTACATATAGCATTATGACTATAGACACCCGGGTACATATGGCATTATGACTATAGACACCCAGGTACATATGACATTATGACTATAGACACCCGGGTACATATGGCATTATGACTATAGACACCCGGGTACATATGGCATTATGACTATAGACACCCGGGTACATATGGCATTATGACTATAGACACCCGGGTACATATGGCATTATGACTATAGACACCCGGGTACATATGGCATTATGACTATAGACACCCGGGTACATATGGCATTATGACTATAGACACCAAGGTGCCAATAGCATCTACCTCAAACATATTGCACCTTATGCATCTGGTTTGATTATAGTTACTTATTTTTTATGTAATCGGATTACGTAATCTCTTACTACCCAACCCTGCTTCTAGGTTACATCACAATAATGTTCACACCCTGTTGAGGCTTGTTAAAGTTGTCATGCTTAGTGAGAAATTAAACAACATATGTGTGCATACATGAGTTTAACACACACATCATATCCACAAAGAATAGCTGAAAGCAGACGAACAGCCCGACACATTTGGATGCACTACAGTACAGGTGAGGGGCAATGGCATAGGCTTAGCATAGAGATGAATTACAGGGGCAAAATAAACATGATGAAACTGAAGTATTCGGTAATCATAGACATTTATTGCCTGGTTAAAATGTATTGATTAACCGCCGTTGACTTGTTAGTTAAAGTTTTGGATTTATGTGTGATCTGTCCTTTAAAATATGTGCACAGATTTTTTATGGACAAATAAAAAAATGTTAAAAATAAGAAAAACAGGTAGTGTGTGTGACTGAAGTATAAACTTCCCACAGCAAGGCATACAAACTATTGTATTGCTCAATCAATGCTGATCTTAATCTCCTGAAGTGTATGTGAGCCTTCCGTCACACTGGCACTTTAACTACCAGCTGTTTTTCACGTTGAGGGAGGTGTAAACAGGGAATGATGTGATGAACATGTATTAGAGAGAGACTTGAAAGGAAATGCACAGTAAATAAAATGCAATACCTCTGATGAGATGGCAACCGGCCACCTGTTCAATGGTATCCATTTGTAAAAGCTGTCGCAATCAACGGGCCCTAAAAGTGTACAGTTAGTGCTTTTGTCAGTATGCATTTCAAGGAGAGAAAAAGTGAGAATCATTTCAATAATGTGAACGCTTTGATTCAGTTTGATCATGTTCAGCAGCAAAGCAGGATTGTCACACATGTTATACACTTTATATTATTGTAATGGGAAACTGCAACATTAAAACAGGATGTAGGACCCATTAAAGATGGTTAGAAATACTATAAGAAGTAAATGATCTCCAAGTTACTTTGAATCCCCTAAGCCAACATATTTCTCACGTTACAATAAAATTAAAGCAATAAAAGAGATAATAAAACACAAGATCCTCATTCATGCTAACATATACAGCTGATTGATTCTGAAAGGCTGCACTGAATAGGATGGTGAACAGCCCTCAGGATGATAAGTGTGTTTGTGTGTATTGAACGCTCTTCATTGTGTGGCTCAGCTATCAGGAGGCAGTGCATTTTTGCAGAAATCCTCGTGCTGAAAAGAGAAGCTTCTTCGACGCCTAGTATCCGTCTTTATCGCTTCAATCAACTAATTGCACTCTAATTGTCTTGCATAAAAAACTGTTAAGTTCATTACTGCTTCTTCACAGTGGCTGTTTTGATATTGGCTAAAGGGATTAATAGAATCACTGGAGCGTGAGAGCGGGCGAGAAATCAGCGACTCTGAAGTCACCCATGAGGCTGTGACATATGATCTGATGTATTCAGGTTAATAGCATACTCGGTCAAAAAAAGAAGTATAAAGCACATTTTAGTTCTGAATCATTTCCCTTTTGAATGTTCTGAATAGAGAGATCATCTCCCTGAGAGGGGGGAGTCAGGGGGCCCGCACCCCCCTCTGCTTTACTGCACTCTGCCTGATTCACTGGGTGATTCTGAAGTGGTGATTTAGTACGTGGCATCATTCTGTAGGGGGAATCACTAAACCTGGCATGGTGGAATACACTTTATTCTACGCTCATTTGTGATATACATGAGCCTATTCGACTCTTTTGAAGAACATATGATATACATTTCTGTTCGGAGTTTATTGTATTTGTTGCGTTTTATTTGAAATGTTCTGACTCAGCAAGTGTTACAACAAATAGAAAATATTGGAAACAAATCGCCTCATTTCCATCTGTAAACTATCTGCTAGTAAATCTGCTTGGAAAATGAGCCAGCCTGGTGTTTCATAACAAATATTTAGCTTCCTACGCTGAGACCAACAGATTATGGCAGATAGCCAGTGGACCTAAAACCATTAATAAGAGGGGCTTTGCTTAGGAAGCAAAAAGCCAACTCTTTTTTTCTCTGTTAAGCTCGGTTTTTCTTTGGATACCATAAATCAATTAAACACATTTGCTCAAATGAGCTGGTTTATCTTTGTAGTAGCCAGTGACACTACTATAATGAAAACATTTCTGCACACTCACTTTATCCTCTCTGAGCCCTGGCATTTAGTCCCATTGATTCTATGTACCGCACACTATTTCTCACATGAAACCACTGAGTAAGTGACAATTTACCACAGAAGCCATTAAATACAACTACCAGACAAAATCTAATAAAAAAACACCACAAACGCCAACTTGTACTTTGTGGTGACTATATAAGGAAATTAAAAATAATGATGTTGGCTCGAAAGATGTTCACCCTGCAGTGTACTAATGGGCTTGTTGTTATTCCACCTCAGTTAAGCCATGCATTCATTAGCTTCTTTCAGAAAAGCAGGTGTTATTCTCATAACCTATACTGTGTCACTCAGTTCAGTAAAACACTGCAAACATGCCCCGACAAGACTGGCAGCGAGACGAGGAGCTTAGCCCCGCCGCACCTTGCTAGGGGCCATCAAATTCATAATGCAGCGTTTTAGATGAATTATTCAGCGAGGTCCGACACAGGCAGAGTAAACACAGCGCTGATGGAGACTTTATTTGGGGAGATCGTCCCTTTGGTGACAACAATGTCCTGAACATAAGGTAGAATCTCAGGAAGACTCATTTAAGTTGACTTATTTAGACGCTAACATTTCAATGTCCGGATATGTGGTACACACTTTTAAGCCCCAGGACTAGTGCTACCAGGGGGCCATTGTGACTCATTGATGGTGACTCTGAGAGAGAATAAGATATACAAATCAGTCTTCATAGGATCATTATTTATTGACTATTTCTGTAAGCACGTCATATTGCATACATTATGTCATAAAATGCACTTATTACATGTTTTTATACTGTTTACAAGTGCTTAATAAGCTAGCTAGCTACTATTAAGAGTTTATTGGCATTGAGATGATCTCTCCATGAATTGGTGGTCTAATAAAAGAGAACCCTGTTTTTAAATTTTCTTTCCGAATAGTTTATAAAATAGGGCGTTACTATCTTTCAAGGAGGTGTCTTCTTTGTCACTGGGGCCTTTTAAACATTTCTGAATTGGCTTCTTTTTGATAACAGTGAGAGCAACATGTTTGATTTGAACCAGGTTGCTGCACACTATCTACATCTAGTCACATTGAGAACACCTCTGCTGGCCCTGCTAGTCTCTCACTCATGAGATGATGTAGCATTTTGCAGCTAACGGATCATACAGACATGTAGAGGTGCACCAGCACCTGGCTGAGCAGCTACACCTGGACAAGGACACGCAGAGACAAAACCTCCGTCCCTGTGACGGAGCGAACTCCAGCTCTGGGACAGATGGCTTTCTAAAAATAAAGGACATTTGTTCTGGGAAGGTGACACAGAGTTTGAAGTCAGGTGATTTGTGCAACAGCTAAGGGGAATAAACATTTGCATTTGACACGGATAACTTTGAGAGAGGAGACGGGGTTAACCCTGACGTACTAAATGCTTACGGAACCTGTGAACTCAATGGCATTAGATACCTCTCTGCAAAGAAACATGGTAACCCTTTCAATGACGCTCAGGACTCTAGTGCATTGAAAACATGCATATAAAGCCTCGTAAACACACTTTAAGTCTGCTTATAGCACTGTTTGATTATAGATACAGATATGAAACATGTTATAATGACTCACAAGGTCAAGTATCATAATACTTCATAAATGTTGGTCACTCACTGGCATTATAAGTTACTAAGGTTTACTAAAGTGGCCATTGTTTGCTTTCAATAAAAAAAACAAATATCATTACATTTATGGAAAAACACACAAAATGTAAAATGTTCACTTTACCTAAAACAAACAATGACCACTCTAAAGTAACTCATATTACAACTTTGATATTGAATGTATATTACACTATGATCCTTGCAGAAAAAGTGCCAGTGAGTGACCAGCAATTATGAAGTATTTGAACATTATAAGTCATTATAAAAAGCATGTGAACATTAAATGTAATATTAAAGTGTTTATAACTATAATTTTATAGTGCCAAAAGCAGATTATAACATATGTTTATAATGCATTATAGGCATGGGCATCATAGGAAGTGTAACCAACATAATTAAACCTCTAAAACTCTGCTGAATGCTTTGTACTTATCTGCATTTAAGATAGGTGTTAAGAGGCAGATGGTAGGTATTCTGATATGGAGGAGTTTACATTCCTACAGTGAGTATGCTCTACTCCTTAAGATAGAAAAGTGTAGAGTTACAGAGCATCACAGTCAGCGTGCTTTAGCTTAGTGTCTAGTGTTAGTGCTGGTATTCTGACACTGAGGAGGAAACCAAGCTGAAGGTGGGGTCAGTCAGACAGGAAGTCAGCAGACAGGAAGTGAGCAGAGTACTCACTGTGATGCTGGGGCCGAACCCGGAGCCGGGCTGGGGGCTGGCGGCGCTGATGTAGTTCCCCACAGCGGAGTCCTGGCTGTTCCCGTACAGATCGGCCACGGGCCCTGGGCTGTTGGGACCGGGGAAACCTCCGGGCCGGGACGGGTTGGCGCCTGCACACAAACACAGCGGGGGCGGCAGCTCAGAAACACAACAACCAGCTCTACAATCCTTACTCTATCACTCAAAAGGAAAAACCAAAAAAGAACACATGACTGGATTCATGTTTGTCTCAAAAGACTTTCGTATTGTTCATATTACAGATGCGGCTAATAAAACAATTTTCATAGCAACTGTCAAAATGTTGCAGGGCTAAGGTTTTAACATGATTTGAAATTAAGAATCCAGTATGATATTCTGCATATAATCTACATGCTGTGTGCATTATGCATTGGAGTAACATTCACTTTGTATTTTCATGCACACACAAAACAAGCACGCTGCTAGAGATTCTTCCACCATGCTAATAAACTAGTAAGGTTGCAGTGTCAATGTTGCCATGCATAATGTGAAGGAGTACTTGCAACACAGCATGAGCTGTTGAAGAGTAGCAGAGGATTATTATGTCACAGACTTTTACATTTAGGCACTTTGGAGCCAGACATTTGAAATACCTTATGCTTTCCTATACGACCTATGATTCATAGAACCTACTAAAAAATATTCTCCATATTTTTCGCTGTGCGCTTCAGTCTGCTGGTGTGACTTCAAGCATAAAGTGAGACAAGAGAAGGAGGCACAAGGGGGAAATATAAAAGCTTGACCCGACTTCATGTGCAGGTCCAAACTCAGAGGGGACAAAAAAGAAATACTGTACACGACTTACCACCTTTGCCCTGTGAGTAAGAGCAACTCAGACTAATAAAATGTCTTTTTTTAAATCGAGATGCCTACTAAAGGGCAGTGACACTGGCAAGGAAAAATAAATGCAGGGGAAAAAGAAAAATGCAGTGATCTCTTAACAGCAATCTCCTCTGCTGTCAGCATCACATAACCCTGCTTCACCCTTATTCAAACTGTGAAAAAAAAAAGGTATTAAAAAGAAAAATATTGCCACTGTAGAAAAAAGGCTCCATCTTGTGTGTGTATGAGCTCATGATGCCTGAGAGGAAGTCTTTGGAGAGCAAGTAAAGAAATAAAGATTGTAGTGTTGACGCACACGATCCTTGTCTCCATGTTTAACATATCAGCGCTCCATCTCTCAGAGCTGTATTAGCCATGTTAGGTCCATTAGAAGCACCTGAAAACATACTCCAGATATGGTGTAATGCACTCCAGAGGAATGAAGCCATCTCACTAAACACACACACTGCTGTTTAACTGTAAGGACTTTAAACAGGGAGCAGCTACTGCTCTTATCTCGCCTGCACAGCCTCCAGTAGGCTGGCTTATTATATAATTAGGGACGTTTTCTTTCTGTTAAAATGGCAATCCTCATGACTGATTTTTTTATTAAGAGTGTGGCTCACCCCTCTCCCTGTGGAACTGATTTTTCCATTTAAAAATGGAGCAATGGGAGCAAAACAATCTCAAGTGCAACGTGGGTCAGATTGTTGTTCAGAATAACACAGGCGAGTGTGTTTATAGTCATTTTGATTCTTTTTCTTTATAAGGAATGATAGTCTTTCTTGTGCTTCAGTTGTAGCGCAGATACATCTGAGTAAAAAGACAGAACATCTTGTGATGCTAGGGGCGGCTTCAACATGTGGAGAGAAAAATTGGATGAATGGATGAAGGTCTAATGTCTGACTCTTTGCACATTGTGCTTTGTTGCCTGTCTGTGTCTTCCAATCTATATTTGCTTCATTTCAATCCACATAAATGTCGAACTGTACAGATGGTGGCACTGTGCACCAGAAAAACATTTATCATTGTTATTTGCCTTCAAACTGCATTATATGCTATTCTCCCTTTCAGGCTAGCAATCTGTGGGGCACAATCTTCATCAGTGGACGGAGCGCTTAGAGAGGAGCAGGGCCGCTCGCCGTATCATTTCCACAGTAATGGCATGAGAAATGAAATATGGGTAATCCATGACCTAGGGCTGGTAATCATCATCATTGTAAGGCACCTCGTGTACACAGAAATCTATTACACTTCCTGAAAACCATATTCCTTATCTACTTAAAACAAACATGCGAATAAACAGTACCATTGTGATTCCTTTCACTATAATGCACTCTCTGATTTTCATATTATTGGGGTCAAGGTTGGCTACAAAAATAAAGTCTATTTCACAGACAACAGGAACATCGATCGGGTCGACTCTCAGGATTTAAAGCTGTCCTCTCAAGTGAGAAAAACCTGTGCTTTACCAACCAAGCAAACAAAACACAAGCCACGCAGCGACAGTCCAACACAGTGATTTACAGTAGCTAAGAAACCCAGCTGATCTGTACCCTTTCTTAACTATAATGTATAGAAAACATGTCGACACCAGGCCTCGATAATGGAGCATAGTGAGTGTGAAAAGAAAGTGTGTAGTGATGCTGTAGGAATTTAAACACTTCACACTGATCTATATAAACTGTGTGTGCAGTAGGGCTGGGCATTAATCCAATATGAGTCATATTGTGATTTAATCATATATTGAAATCTCCTGTTATACAAGAATGTTGTCTTAATCAAACTTCTGTCTTCATCTACTCTATGCATAGCTAGACACATATTTGTCCTTTATACCTTCACTTGAAACTGTTATAACGTGCTGTACTGTGATATTTAACGAAATATTCAATGACTCTTATTGTGATATACGTTTTGGGTTATATTGCCCAGCCCTTTAGTCTGTGTGTGTTACAATGAGCAGCTTTACAAGAAACCCTCACCCTCAGAAAAAGTCACATCTGCGTAGCTGTTTCTATACAACACGTCTTTGGTTTTTGCTATTTGCTGTGCTAACGTCTGTAGAAAAGGCCAACATCTGCCTGGGGCAGCTGGCCAACACTTTACCCATTAGGGGAGGGTCTGTCTCACACTCACTCACACTCACTTTACTGGTCCAAAAGGGCGAGGGGACGGACCCTTTTGTTTTTAATATTTTAGCTATTATTGTCAGGTGAAGGCTATGGCAGGATGTAAGCCCCGCAGGGCCACGAGTCTCCGGAGAGAGGGAACCTAACGCTGAGCGTAGGTCAGCGCTGTCCCCTGCAGCGAGGCCCACATCATGAAGGCTCTCCGCTAAACTACACCTCCTTTAAATTAAATCACAATTTAGAGGTGTGTCATGCCAGTGGAAACATGATCATATACTGTAATTATCAGAGTTTCAAAAATAACAACGACATAAATACTGTACTGTTCTTACAAGTTCTTAATTGTAAAAGATTTCTGTCTGCTGTCAAAGACACAGCATGAATGTATAATCGTTTGAATGCATTGCATGCAGGTATTGAAATGTCACTGTGCAATATATTTGAGTTAAAAAGTCATGATTACATAACGTGGATAGGAGAACATCAGAAAAGCACACAGAATGACTCGTGTTGTAGAGTAATGGCTGTATTATGCAAAGATGTTGTCTTTTAAGTGAGCATCGTACAGCATCTCCACTGATCTCCAAGTCACACACTAATAACCATGAGCAATCATTCTTACACTTAAAAACGTACAGGACTCTCACTCCCACACTTAACTTGTTCCTTTGCTCTTCAAAATTCACAAAAACCTGAGCTCTGTTAGAGAGGCGAGTGTACTCTCCGACATCATCAGTAGTTATTTTGTTGGCATGCAAATGAAGGCTGCATTCTGTATGTGTCGGCCCCTTGTGTGCAAGCAGGGGCTGGGACACAACTTCACAAAGAAACAGAACATCTACATTAAAGAAAGGAGGAAGAACATGCAATGCTTTTTTTGTCAGCAAGACATGTTTGTAAAGGGTTTTTTTGTAGAGGGGGATTTATTTGTTACCTTAACAAAAGCAAGAGGAAATGTATTTCAAATCAAGATCTGCATGGAATAATGTCATGAATCAAACTGAAAAGTCCAAAGAAGTGGATGAGATAGATGCGCTTATACAAACCTGGGTTCTTAAACTGATCCGGGCTGTGTAGGTGCTGGAGGGGGGAGTTGCAGGCGGAGGTGGCATGCTCACTGTGCAGCATCTGAGCCGCTTGGGGCCCCAGGGAGCCATAGTCAGCAAAGGAGCAGGGCCCCCCCCTCTGGTCACTGGGCGTAGAGTAAAACCCATAATCGGGGAGGCCTGGGAGATACAGTATAGGGTGGGGAGGGGGAGGGGAGGGGACTCCATCATTGTGGAAAACAACTTTTTTTGCATTTTACAAAGTCAATGTCCAGATTGTTAAGCATAGTTCTGTGGTGTGTTTCACCATCATTCTTTTTTAAACAAAAGTACATCCTTGAGTTTTGTCTGCTTGAATTGCCCCCCCCTGCCCTCCCTCCCCAGCAGCTCCTAGCATGTGGCCAGGCCCCCTTGGCATATGGTCCGTGTTTGATACGCTTCAGCTGCACATTTATGGATACACACTATCTCTCCCTAACAATGGAAAACCTCTTAAATGACTCTTAAAACCTGGACTTGATTCAAATGGACCAATAACAATAAATACAAAATAAACAGTAAGACCTTTCTTCCATATTTACGTTTTTGCATTATTGACCTGTGCCATTCTTGATTTCTTTCCGTCATTAAGGATTGAGATAAAACTGAGGAATCATTAAAACACAGGTCAATACATTTCTTCGTCGACACACCTGAGGGAAGCTTTTGTCATTTAAATGAAAAGAAACATTGCGTGCACCGATCAATAATTAATTTAAAGCTTCTTTTTTTTTCTCAAACAAATAGCAACAGATGATAAGGTTTGCATGTGAATGAGATACAGATATACATGTTTATCTTCCAACGCTGCTCTCTGTGACACAGATGGTGGATTATCAACAGTTTAGAAAATGTCTTTCAGCAATCAGCCCTGCTGGCATTTATTGCTTGTCGTCTTAATCTGAGACAAGCTGCTCATATAAAGAGTGCAATTAAAAGAAACGGCTCCTTCTCACACCTCTTTGAAAACACAGTTAATCTACTCACGAGGGGCTGAGATTGGTAAAACCGGCTTTTCCATGCTGGGTTTCCCCCGCTGTGTGTTTTTTTAATTTTATTTGGGACCTGGAGCGAATAGCCATTGAAAGCCACTTCACCTCTCCCCATTCAGAGTAAGACAGTCCACTTCTGCCAAATGGAAAGTAAGCACCAGCCATGTTTCTCTCCGCCAATGCTTTTTAGCACTCTGATCTCACCACTTGTGGGCTGTCTGCCCACTCATCAAATGATAGGCTCCAAATACGGCAGGCTTCCCACGTACGTCACATAATACCTGACACATTGAACAAAGCTCAAGAAGCAATCATTCCATTTACTTCACTTAGACAAATGTCACAGAACATTGATTGGCCTTGCTAATGAGGAAAACTGGATCAATGGAATAATTATAACAGGGAGAAAAGAAGCATTTGACAATACCACAAACCGTGTTATTGGGAATTCATAAAGAAGCTATTTCAAATATGTCACCAGTTTAGCACAGAGTAAAGACTGGGGCCAGACAGGAATCACATTCCATTTTACACTACTTAAACGGCGCCTCATAATGAGTATTTTAAGTTGCTCCAATAAAGTATGCAACTAAACAAAAAACCTGTTGTAACTAAAGATCGCACGTCTTCTTTGTAAAAGTAAAGTTGCAGGTATAAAGGAGTTTGTGGTAACAGATCATATTAACCGTAATCCAAATAACAGCAGTATTGTTAACACTATTATTTAGACATTATAATATGGGCTATAAATTAAAATAATGTCAGCAGCAAATAATTGGAGTGGTGCTTCAAAATGGGAATGTTATTTTCAATTGAGATAAGGTTCTAATTGTAAGTAACGGAAGAACATTAAAGCTAGGGTGGGTGCTGTATTTATAACATTGATTTATTATAAATACCTGAGCTCACTCTGCTTGTGAACTCATTGTGCGTCACCAAAGTTCTCCACAATCTGCTATCTTGACAACTGTGAGTACAAGCAATAGCCATGTTGGTTGTTTATGTTCATAAACACCATTTTGGGGTCATTAGGAATTGTATGACGCTTGCTGGCTTCTCTAATGTTACCTACCCAAGCTTTAACTTACACAGTGGGTTTTCTTCAATTCTGTTTGTTGTGCTACTCAAAGATTAGGTTTTAATTGACTTCCTGCTCAGCCAGAACATATTATTATCATACTTTACAGATCAACTGTAAATACAAAACCCCCCATGCCCATTCTTAATTCCTACAACGTTTATTTGAAGATGACCATTTACCAAACAATGTAGGCAAACAGCGAGAAAGGAAGCCACAATGTGCAAACTACTACTTCAATAATATTGAAACGCAAAATAAGAGATCTTTCAAACAACATTACATGGAGGACATCGGCCCAATTCAGGAATGAGTCCGGAGTTACCCAATTAGGGATCAAACGGACTGCATCTTATCAATGTCTGCCCAGCTTTATGAAAAGTTGGTCATTCAAACCAAAACCAATCCCGAACTATTATAATCACCAAACTCATTTCATTTAGCCTTAAAATCTATTAACTAACAAAGTTTATAGGGCTGTAAAAGTGGTCACAGACAGTACAATGTTACATACATAGTAAACAGATCTTTCTGGATTGTAAATAACATTTAGCCAGCTAATGAAAGTTTTTCACACACTGCATTCAGGTGCAGGTGGCTTAGGTAACAAACTGCCGTTGTTTGCCGGATAGAGGCAGCTGGACAAAAGTAGGACTCAGAGACAACATGTGGGCACAGACTCTCAGAGCCATATATTTTCATCAGTGGCTATCTGATCCGTTATGCAGGATGAGACTGGGCAGAGTGTGCCCACAGCTGCATTAGTATCACCGATCATATCACGGTGCCTCAGCCCTTCCCACTATTAATATTCACACAATCTATCCAGAACAATGGGCCTTTCTTGGACTCCTTTTTTTTCCAGTGGCCACTAATTGGATGTAATTACTCATCTACAAAACAAATGAGCGTGCTGAGGTTGCCTTGGAGACTAGATCAGGGGACCCAGCAGTGCGAATCGTTCGCAGGGCTTCATTTATACTGGTAATTATCTCCCCTACCCCCACCCTCTTTCCCTCCTGCCCTCAATGACCAGAGCTGGCTGTGCGGCGATGGAGGGGGGAGTGTCTAGCAGTCATCTGTTACTGACATCATCGGGGTGGCTCTCTTTAAGTGGATAAATGCCCTGCTCTCGTTCCCACTTTGCCAGGTGACTGCCTTTAAGGAGGAATCACAAACCTTGAAAGCACTGCTGCTCTTTTTCTCACTAGTTGGAAAATAAAACTAATCACGCTGATGATAAAATATAGCGTCATGCTCCCGGGCCTGTTGAGACTTCAGAGTGTGAAAAATATTTTCATAAGTACGCCAGTGTTCTGCACCAAGTTTCAGATGATCCTTATTTTAATTCCCACAGAAACTCAACATATTAACTAACACATGCACACTTTTAAAGACACAATCCATGTTTAAAATGAAAACAAAACATCTTCACAGACAAAGTTCAAAAACGCTGCTTGAAACTGCTTTCCCTAAAAAATGAACAGGTCTCTCAGGTCAGAAATATAATATTCACAACTGTTGTCTAATGTTTTCATTATAATCACCTGAAACTAAGAACTGTTATGTTTTCCTTAGAGAGAATGAGCCCTATTATTTACATAGGAAGCAGGTCCACTTCCATGATGCACCACCATGTTTCTACAGTAGCCCAGAATGGACAAACCAAACTCTGGCTCTATTGAGGGTCAATATTGAGATTACAATGATCTATTGTGGTAAATGATGTATACTTCCAAACATTACATTACATTTCATTTAGCTGACGCATTTATCCAAAGCGACTTACAATAAGTGCATTCGACCAGGAAGATACAAACTTGAAGAAAACTGAATCATATAAGTACATCAGTTTTCATAGAGCCAAAACATTTCAAGTGCTACTCAACTAGCTTTAGATAAGCCAGTCCTTTGTTAGTATATAAGTGCTTTGTTAGTAATTCTATCGCTCGAAGTGGAGTCGAAAGAGATGAGTTTTCAGTCTGTGCCGGAAGATGTGTAAGCTTTCTGCTGTCCTGATTTCAATGGGGAGCTCATTCCACCATTTTGGAGCCAGGATAGCAAACCGACGTGTTTTTGCTGATGGGAACTTGGGTCCCCCTCGCAGTGCTGGTGCAGCGAGCCGTTTGGCTGATGCAGAGCAGAGTGCACGTGCTGGGGTGTATGGTTTAACCATGTCCTGGATGTAGGAAGGGCCAGATCCATTCACAGCATGGTACGCAAGTACCATTGTCTTGAAGTGGATTCTAGCAGTTACCGGTGAAGTGCCATTAGCTCTTCACCTTCTGCTCCGAACATTTGATTTTAATTGTGTATGTCTGCTCTTTGTTGTTCTGCAGACAGCAGATGCAACATTTAAGAACTTTTACACAGGCTGCATGACAGCTACCCGATGGTAAAGCCAAAACATCTTTATTGCCCCCTAGGTTGCTGGCTGTTAGCTAAGGAAGCGCTTGATTTGAAATTCCGAAAAGAGAACAAAGTTAAACATCAATATCGCCCTCCATTAAGGCCGTCGTAGTTCTCCGACATGCTTGAAGAAAGGGCGGTGGAGGGTATTTAGTTGCTTTCAATCTACTACATTACCATTAGATGGCACAATATCCTAAAAAGCGATTTAACGTGTTAATCTTGCATTGTTCTCTGCTTTTATCTGACAACACTATAGCACCGGAGATTTTATATTGGTCTACTTAATTAGAAACTGAATAATATATACCCCTCTTTTAAAGAATGAGTAATATAGTGTTGTGCACATACATGTCTGTTATAAGAAATATGTTTAAGATTGAACTACCTGATAATAGGTATGTGAAATAAGACATCTAATATCCTACAAACTGCAATCTTAGTACAGCGATTTAACGTGTGAACAGGAACAGAACCTGTTGCCATTGCCATTAAAGGTTTGCTTAAAGTGGACCTATCATGCTATATTTGAATAATATATTGTAGGGCCATACCTAACCTTTTTCAAAATACCAAACAGATCATGCATTTTAGCCATGCCTCATTTTGCTCTTTTCCAGCCCTGTTTTTGCAAGGGCTGATTCTGTGAGAAGTCTTCTTCG